CAGTGTTGCAGTCGAGCTGGAATTGGACTCTAGCTCACCCAAGCCCCAAAGCCCCCTTTCTCTCCCTCACACTCCCTTCCCCCACTGAAGGACTCACCGGGGCCCCCTGCTTGGCTGGAGGGGCAGCACATGGTACTTTGGGAGTCAGCTTGGTGGGTGGCAGATGTAAGTGCCGAACTCACCGGCCGCAGGCCTGGCACCACAGACTTCTCGGCAAAGAACTCGATGCCTCAAGTCATTTTGTGGACAAAGAGCAAGTGAGACACCTTCGCTTTTATTTTTTAGTTCTCTATCTGAGATTGAGAAAATCCATGAGGAGACAAAAGGAAGGAACACCCAACTAATTTTGTTTAAGAAAGATCAATGTGTATGAGCTTTCACAAATTAATTATTAAAGATTTAGAAAACCCACAGACAGACAGACAGCAGGAAGGGGTCATCTGACGGCTGCTGCAGAGCCGCTCCGGGGACGGGCTCTAGCCTGGGGGTCAGTGAGGGCCCACGTTGCAGACGGGGATGAGTGACCACGCACGCTGCCTGGCACTTCATAAATAAATATTGCCCCATAGTGGGAAGATATCTAGGACTTAGGATCCACACGCCCGCCTTGGAATCAGGACACCTTTGGGTGTCACCACACTGGGCCAGAATTTCCTCACCCGTAAAACCAGGCCTGTGCCGATTTCCATGGCTGGCTAGGAGAGCGTGTGTACAGGACTCTGTAAGCAGAGTGGCGGCCGGCAGGCGCTGCGATCATCCCAGAGGCGGTGTTTGTCAGGTATTCCCGGAGGGCCCAGCCTGGTTGGGAGGCAGGGATCGCACTGTCGCTAGACAGGCATGGTCCCCGCCCTCAGAGCCCGAGGCCTGGTGAGTAACCAAGGGGAGGGCTCTTACCCTTAATAGGTGGGCGCTTTGCTACATTCTTTGCAAGAGCAACCTGCCCTCCCTGCCACTTCCCCATTATACAGATGAGGAAACCGAGGCTCAGACAGGTGAAGCCGCGTACTCAAGGCCATGAAGCTAGTACGTGACCAAGTTAGGTTTTAAAGCTCGGCCTGGCTGACCCAAATTTGTTTTCTTCATCAAATGTGATACCACTTGCAACCCAGTGCTTGGTAAGGAATTGTAAATTGTTAACTGTTTCCAACCAGATTCAGTGGTTGAGATTTTAAAATTCAGACACACACACACACACACATACACACACCCTCAGACCAGCAGACCCTGAAATTACTTCTTTGGAATTAGGCAAGTGTATGTTTTTAGAAAAAGCCATGCTGATCTCCCTGGAGAAGGATCAGTTCTAGGCTGAGGTTTTCTTCCATCACAGGTGGTGGAGAGTGAGGAGTGCGTCCTGTGGACCAGTTTGTCTAGCACTTACTCCCCAGTCTGTTAAGCCTCGCGTCAGATCCCGTGCCCAACGTGAGGGTGTTACTAGCCCGAGCTCTGCGGCAGATGCTGTTGGAAAAGGGTATGTGGACTGCTCTTCTGAACTTACACACTTGAAAAACTTCATCAGGCAGCAGCTAGATTTCCTCTTTAGGGAATTGTGGCAGATTGCCTGATAGCGTACTTCAGACTTCTAGAAATTGATGTATTAATATTAACTTTCATGCAGAAGAGTTGGTTGTTTATGAAATGACTAAGGAAATGAATGCAGTTCTGTTTTCATATTTAATGAGCATAATCCTAGAATGCAAATGATTGCAGTGTTCTAGAAATGAGGGAAACTTTTGTTAAGTGTTGAATTATGACATAGACATTGTGAAAGGCAGCAAATGTAAGCCTTTATTATGCTGAGGTTTCGATGGTTTTATTTTGTAGTCAGAAAAATGACTCGCCCAGCCTGAGCAGGACCCCACACAAGATCGTGTCCCTCGAGTGGCACGTCCACATCTATGCCAGGGGTGGAGCGGAATATCTCCAGCCCTGTTCCCCCGAACGTACCGCCTTGCCCCTTCCCTCCCGCTGCCTCCCCCACCACACTCCATACGCTGTCCGTTCTCTTCTAGAGGAGGGAACAGGAGAGGACGCTGAACATTTCTGAACTGCAACTTTAAAAATACACATACCTACCCGTTCTTGGGAGTCCATCTTTGAAATTTAAGAATCGCTCTTTGATGGAAGCAGTCATTTTATCATTTCAAAGTCCTTATGTGTATGATTATTCTGGGAAAAATGACTTGTTGTCCTGAGGTGTGGTTTAAGAAAAACCCAAAACCAGATGATGTCTTGGAGCACAATTCATGGCACATGCAACCCAAACTACTGTTTTCTCTCTTTAGCATATTTGAGAAATGCCGGTAACCCTCATCTTCAAGTCGTTGAAGAGACTGTCCTAGCTCTGCAGTCTGACTGGGACCCAGATGTGTCCTTTTGTGCCACCCTCCAGCCCAAGCGGCCGAGTGCTGCAGACAGCCGCACGCTAGGAGAACGCAACTAAGCCCTCTGTGACGCGCACACTCTGGTCCTGTCGCAGGTGACACAGACTGCTCACCCCAGCCCATCGAGGGTCTGACGGTGCCACACCTTCCAAGGGAGGAAAGCTTCTAGAAGCCTTAAGGGTGGGCACTCGGGCGGCCCCTTTCCCTTCTGCAGTCACAGGGACCGCACCCAGGCCGGGTCCCCCACTCCTGCGCCCCGCCCTGCCTCATCAGGACATCTGGGACCAGGTGGTGGGCAGGCGGCTGGCTGGGTGTGGGGGCTTCCGGAACATCAGGCTGGCCTCTCTGGGACAGACTATGTTACTTAAAGGCCCCCGCGGCCCCAAATAAAGTAGTTTATTAGAAGTTTTTAAGTCTTTACTAGGCTTGCACATGTGGCTTCTCTTATGTTTTCCTATCAAATATAGTTTATGGTGTCATGTTTTATTTTTAACTGAAATAATGTACATATGTAAACAGCTCTTGACAGGAAGAAAATATATTGACGTAATATGAGCCTCCTATCAGTGAACAGAACAAATACATCATTTAAATTTATGCTGCACTTCGAGTTGCTGCAAATAGAGCCCAATTTGTTTACTCTTGAAAAATGTGATAGTTAAGGAAATCTACTAAAGAATGATTCATGGCATTCTTTCTAATATTGTACTTTTGTATAAACTGTACTTGGAACTTTTCCTCAGGCACTTGTCCCTCCGCCTCTCGTCAGAGCTGTACCCATGAAGCCATGCGCTGGCCTTTGACAGACGCATAAAGTAGAAAGATTTTTCATTCTTACATGGATTCACTATCACCTATTTGAGAGACGGAAATTGATCATTGAGATGCATGGATTTCGACTGTGTCTCTGACGCTCTGTGGTCTTAAAAGAGAGTAACAACACTGGACCCCACAGATCCGCTCAGTTCACATACCTGCCAGTGGTTTGGGGGTTAACTTACGACACCCCTCAAACTGACCTAAGTTCACAGAACTTAACATTTCATGCTCTTGAAATTTAGACTGAGAGAGGATGCTCTGGAGCCTTGAATGGGTTTTTCTTTAATAATTTAAGTTTCTACAAACGTCTGATTAACTTCTGTAGAATGTGTGTGCTCCTGTTCTTTTTCTCATTTCTGTCTTTATCTTCTCAAAAGTAGACATCGGAGGAAGGAAGGAGAGGCCCATTTGGGGTTCAAGAGCAAGCTAGCTGCAAAGGGCACGTTGCTATTGCCATTCTCTCCTTGGATCTTTTTCTTGTCTGTCTTATCTTTCTCCCTTTTTTTAAAATAACATCTCTGGAGCTGTATATTGAATTTCCTGGAATACAGGATGCTCTCCCCTCCCCCAAATTCCACTGAGCTGATCCTTTAAAAAGAAAGGAAGGAATCTATAGCGTGCCAAAGAAAATAAGGTACATGTGTGAGAACTTCAAATTGTAACCCGGGGTAGCGTTTTGGCAACTTCAGCAAAGACTGAGCCAATAAATCGGAGGCTACGTATTAGAGAGAAGAAAAATCAGTCTATCTCGGGTTCGAAACTTGCCTCAAGGACATAGATGAAGATCATTGTTTTGCTTCAGTAACAAACCACTTTAGAGTCAATGTCTAGAAACTGAGATGGTCATATTGTTAAAATCTGTTGATCTGGCAGCAAGTAGAATTATTCAACTGGAATCTTGTGTTCTGCGCAGTGCTTAATTTTCCACTAAGGAAAAAAAACTCCCCTCCACTCGGGTTGTGATGCATGGCCTCTGGGTCCTGAATCCAATGCGCCTGTAGCCACCCTTTGGTAAACAATCCAACCTTTAAACATTTCCATTTATACACTAAAGATCGTCGATAACTTAATAGGAATGCCTTTCCAGTGCAAAGAGATTTTTTTTTCATGACTGTAATTTCTCTGCAGAAAGTATGTGTAAGGCTTATCTGTTCTTTTGTAACAACGGAGATTTTTTTCTAAGATGGATCTGTCTCACCTCCCTTTCTCCCCTGATGCCCACCCCTCCTCTTAGCTCTTGATGTAGCCTTTGTTCAAAGGTGTGGGCTGTTGAGCGCGCGTGGTTGGAGCATCTCACGTAAGCTTCCTGTTTACCCGAACACACTCTGCCTCCTCTTGGGCGAATTAATGGAAAAGCACAAGATGGATTTCTCACAGACGGAGCTCCTTTGAAAGGTGTCTTCACAATGGAACCGTCTCCGCTTCTGCCGAGCAGGCGTCGCCCTCTTGTTAAGTGTCTTCATCGGCACCTTTCTCCCGGAATTGGGGGGCATTCGGGGGCATCTGCGGAGCTGGCTGTTTGATCTGAGCCAGGAGCAGATCCGCAGACCGCACCTGACGGGCTCTGCGTAGACGATGCCCGTGATGAGGATTTAGGGCGCCCTTCACTCCAGGTGGTAGCCCCGAGTTCTGCCAGGACCGGACAGCGGCCTGGGGAAAGGGACTGACCCGAAGGGCAGGGCCTGGGGGCGTGGCCCCAGCGGGGGTCTCCGTCCGTCCGCGCTGCTGAGGGACTGGGGGGGGGCGGGGAGGCGCTTGGTGACGCGGTGGTTGGGGGGACCGCCGGGCGGGGGGGCCATGGGGCGGGCCGAGGGCGGCAGCAGAGTGCGGGCGGGGGCGCCGCTGGAGGGCGCCCCGGACCCCAACCCGGCCGTGGGCCGGCTGGGCCGGCGGGGGGCCTGCTCGGCAGGCCTGGGGCCCCTCCTCGCGCCGCCCCCGGCCCCCGCGAGCAGCATCCGGGCCTCGAGCCCCGCACTGGCCCTCGACCAGGCTCCGGACGTGTTCGCCGTGCGGGTGCTGCTGGAGGAGACCGGGGAGATGTTCCAGGCGGCCAGCTGCCGCGGCGACATGACCGTGCGGGAGCTCAAGGAGGAGCTGGAGCTCCTCGTCGGGGTCCCGCTCGACCTGCAGCGGCTCCGGTACCTGGACCAAGGTGGCCCCCGCCCCTTTCCGCGCCGCGCGCAGGGCCTCCCCCCTTCCCGGTGTGCCGTCCCACGTGCGCACCCCTAGGTGTCCGGACAGATGCCCCGCCCCCCCCCCAGGAGACCCCAGACCGAAAAGCCAGCCCAGGCCCCGCCCTGCAAGGTTCCCAGTCCCTGACAACCCAGGTTCAAGTTAGACCTCAAATCTCAAGGCAGACCCAGTCCACACAGCAAGATCCTAATCCTGGAAAATCCTGCCCGGGTCCAGACTGCAGTCCCGAAGCAAGCTGTCAGGTCAGACCTGTCCCTGTGACGGAATCTCAGCACAGGCACTGAGGAGTGGGACCCCTCAGACCCTCCCCTGCCGTGTGTCCTTCAGGGGCCCAGATCCCAAAGCCAACAGTGTCCGCACAAGACTGGAGGCCGGAAACACAGCCTGTCCTGAGGGACCCCACAATCCAGGGCAGACCTTCACAGCAGACTTCCAAGTCCCCATGTTGGACTGTAACCACCACCCCGACCCCCAGCCCAGCCCTCCAGCCAGCCGTGTGCACACAGAGGTGCTGAAGCTCAGAACAAACTCTGCCCACTCCAGGACCCCCCAAACCAAGAACAAACTTGGCCAAGACAGAACCCCAGATCCCCAGGCTAACCACGTGGCCCTCAAAACCCTGAATCCTCAAGCCACCATGTCTGCTGAAGGACACTAATGTCTGAGGCAAACTGCCCACCCCAGGACCCCATATCTCTGTGCAAACCATGCCCAAGTTTGAACCCCAAATAAATTCCCCAAGCTACCCCTGCTTGCAACAGAACCCTAAATGCCAAAGCAGATTCCACCTAGATCAGGACCCCAAATCCAGAGCAGACAAGCCCAATTCTGAGCCCCCAGGCTCTAACTAACCATTTGTGCATCGGAATCCTAATCCATCAGCCACCGCTGTCTATGAGAACCCCGAGACCCCACATGAATTCTTCCCTCATCTGGAAGCCAGTTTCCAAGCTCTCCATGACATCAGAACACAGCCCTCAGAAGGGCTCCAAACCCTGCCCACAATAGAAGCCCCAAACTCAAGTCAAACATACCCATCTCTGAACCCCAAGTCTCAAGGAAACCATGTCTAAGCCAACCATATCCATGTAAGGAAGCCAAAGTTCAAAGCAAACCTTGTCTACATGAGGACCTCAAAACTCGAGGCAAGCTCTGCTTATATTTGAAACCCCAAATCCCTCAGCCAAACTTATCCACACCAGAACCCCAAGTTCTAGACCAAACCTTGCCTATCTCAGACCCCAAATCCCAGAGCAGAATCTGTTGCCGTCAAGACCCCCAAATCCCAAGGGGTGACCTGTCCGATTCCCTACCCTGAGTTGCTACAGTACCCAGGGCTCTGTTAGAACCCCAAGTCCCCAAACAAGTCTTGCCCACTCAAGGACTCCACGTCCCACAATAGACCCTTCCCATACCAGGACCCTCAAACAGAAAGCAAACCTTGCCTTCATCAGACCCCCAAAGCCAGAGTAAACTCTGCCCTCGTCAGGACCCCAGATCTCAAAGCAAACCCTACCCATGTTGGAACCCCGAATACTGGCACTAACCCAATTCGTATCAGAACCCCGAATCTCAAGCTGTGTCCTGTCCACATCAGGAGCTCAAAACTAGCCCCATCAGAGTCAGAACCCAACATCCAAAGCTCACTGTGGGTAAACTGGGACCCCAAGGCCCCCTATCCAGGCAGATCCCATGTGGGGGAAGGACTCGAGAGCCCAATCTGTCCATCCATCAATCTCCTTCCCTCAGCCTGAGCACATGGCTGTCCCTGTTCTGATCCCTACAAAGTTTGGGATATGAGAACAGGATCAAAGCCCCTGGGCTCCATCATCTCCCCACCCGGTTGAAATCAACGCAAAAATACTTTAAGAAAACGAAGATCTAAAACCCTGTCGGGGCTGCTGCACCGGGAATGTGAAAAGCCCACAATGCAGGCAAACTGCAGCACCACTGCAGGCTGGGGGCGATGGAGACAGAGATCTGAGCGCAGCCCGTCTCCGCAGCCGCCATTCCCCCAGACACTGCCCTTCGGAGCTCAGTTTCCTAATCCACAACACAGAGCCTCTTAGCTCTCGAACCTTCAGTGCCATTTTCCCCTTTGGGCAGAGAGGGCTTAGGAAACTCAGAATGTGCGTTGAAGGCCAAAAGACCTTCCTTCGCTCTCTTTGAAATAGGTGAAGCATCCTTCGTGACTATCTCACTATAGGAGTGTTTGGGAGGTGCTCTGGGGGGGCATAGCTGAGGCTTTCTTTGGAAAGAAGTAGATCTCAAACCCGGTCTGTATTTAACACATTAACGATGAGGTGAGCGGCTGAAGGATGGTAAAGCATACCCAAACAAGTAATTTGAAAATTACGTATCCTGAACTACAAATGTCTGGCACGTGTTCTGTTAATTTATCTTCACTGATGAGCTATGCTGAGCAATAAATCCAAGAAATCTAAGAGGCAATGAAAGAGACCGAGTGACTTAGCGCTGATGTCACAATCGTATCAGTCAGCAAGCACTTAGCAACTGTTCGAAGCTTGACCTCCCTTGTGGTGGCCATCCTTACTGTGGGCAGCAAACGAGAAAGGAAGAAGGTGCCCCTGCGTTGATAAAAGAAATTTGGGTTTCTGCCTGTAAATAATCCGCTGATGCCTCTTTACCCACCTCAAGGTTGCCAGGGAGGGTTACACGAGATCACGTGTGTGTGAAAACCTTGAGGGACACAAATCTAAAAGGGATGAGCAAATTCATGGATGAGGGTCGACCTTACATGTCTGTTGTCAACTCCAATAATTTATTTAGCTGGTGATAATTAGTATTTGTCTACGCCGAAGGCAGTTGCCGCTTGCCTGAAAAGAGAGAAGTGCTGAGCTGTTCGGCATGTGTGAATTGCACTCGTTCTTAGGAAAACGCAGCTTGACTCAATTTTTTCAAAGTTGTTAGGAAGTCAAGTTGTCTCGCGGAAGACTAATTACTGATTATCCTCTGTGTTGGAACCACAAATAGGACCCTAATTAACAATTTTGCTAATCGCTATTCCCTGTTTACATCCACCTTCTGAAGTTTCTTGTCATCAAAGGGGACCAGCGGAGCCTGAAGGGACAAGCTTGTGGCACCGGACGGAAGGCAGGTCTGTTTGGAGTCCTGGCTTGACTATTTCCTAGCAGTGGGAGCCTTAGTTTGCTCACCGGCAAGCAGAGATAACAAGCCCGGCTTGTCATGAGGATTAAAGAATATGGGTGCTTGGGTAGAAGGCACTTAGTAATCACTCAGTCGTGAATCCCAAAAACTCACGCATTCCGCTCGGAATAAACGGTAATCCAACCTGGCGGCGGCGAGACTTTACGCTTGCGATACTGCTCGTGGAGAAAAGAAATTATGTTGCTCTTAAGCAAAATCATAGGTGGCCATGTAAGAAAAGGCGTATTTAAAAAGGCAGGCTAAAGACAACTTTGCTTCAAATTTTCTAGAGTCCTCTTTTCTATGATGCTGACATTCTTGCCCAAAGAGTCTGAATTTATGAAGTGTGAGTAGAGCCACTCACCCCAACCTTTTATATGAGTGGAGGGCTGTTCTGGGTGATGATGCCAAGGAGTCTAACGTCTCAAGTCCAAACCATGGGGAATGTCCATGTTACAAGTCCTACGTTACCATAAATGTGCAACTGGGGCGATTTGTCCCCCAGGGGCCATTTTGGCAATACCTGGAGACATTTCTGATGGTCACAACAAGGTGAGTAGAGGCCAGGGATGCTGCTAACACCCGACATGCCTAGAGTGACCCGCACAAGGCAGAATGATCCAGTCTAACATGTCAGTAGCGCCAAGTTTGAGAAGGATGCCATGAAATTCTGCCATTGTTACGTCTTTCGCCAACTGTTGACAACACCAACCAGAATTAGTAATTTAGTTCAATGTATGACTTATGCACATACCTGTACTGTTTCTGGAATGTACTGGGACCATCAAGTGGTTCTCTATTTAACAGAGTTTGCGTCATGAAATGACTTTACTGACTCAATGGTATATTTTCCCAATAGAACAAGTTATAATTACAGAATTTTATAAATCATTGCTATTTTTGGTGGGGGTGGGGGGTGCAGGGCTTGGCTTCCATTTGAGCCGAGCCAAATTGCTTTTCTAAAAAGCCTTAACGGCCACAAACAGACTCATGTGGAGTCATCAAATGAGATTAGTGTTCAAGGTTTTAAAATGATCTCTGCGATGCCCAAGGTCAGATCATCTCTTAAGTTAACCAATGTAATCGTTTCTCTTTAATACCCAATTTTTTTTTTTTTAAGAAAAAATTATTCCCCGTAGGAGTTTTGATGGATGAAACCACACTGAAGTTCCATGATGTTGTTCCTGGTGGAATTATTTCATTATGTGTCTGGCAGTATGATGGATGGACGGAACTGGTTTTGGCGGCTGTGGAAGGGGACCCCAGTAAGGTGCTTTCATGCTTCTGTAAATGGATATTATACTTCATGAAGCAGCCGTAAACTGGGGAGGGGGGGACTCGGTCTTTCATGTGAGTATTTGAGTAAAAGTTTCAGAGCAGGAGAAAAGAGAACGGGACTCCTAAGGATCAAAGAGGACATGCGCGGGTTTCTGGTCCCTCTCGGGTGTGCGGTTCCACGGCGTTCACGTATAACCCGCTCAGCCCCCACGCCCCCCCACAAAGGAAGCAGGGCAGTGCGTTTTCTATCCGCATGTGTATCTTGTAAAGTTGGAAACCTGATTTAACAGTGAGCGAAGAGCTCCCGTAACTGGGAGTGCGTGGGCCACAGAGAGACCCCTGGGGCGGGAAGGCCGTGCAGGACTCGACACCCAGCAGGGACTGCTCTTCCCCAGGCCTTGTGCTTAGCTCTCGGCTGGGCTCTGTGCTGGACACTGGGGAGAAGGGAGGCGGGAACCAGACTGTCTACCCAGCAGCGAGGACGGGAGGCCGGGGGGCTGGGGCGGGCAAGTGTATGCTCCTTCTAGAAAACACATCTGGATGGAACGCCGTGAGCGTGTGGGGAAGGGGTCAGGGCTGCAGGAAGGCTGCTGGGATTAGATCCGGGAAGGGTGGGTGGTCTCCGGGGAGGCGGGCCGGCCCCCTGCCTCCCCCCTCCCCCGTCTCCCACACTCTGGAGTTCTGCTTCCCCCCACGGCGGCTCCCACACCGGATGCCCCCCTCCCCCCACCTAGGGCAGAGTTCCTCTCCGTCGGGGCCGCACACAGTCTTCCTCTCGTGCTCAGAGCCTTAGTTCAGCATGAGATGATTATATTATGGGGCTATTTTTCATCCGTGAGTGGAGTTCAGAGTGTTCCAAAAGTTAGCAGAGACAATGGGCCCGAAAATAGATCGGAAGGCCAGAATTCATCAAGTCTCCAGGGGGGTGCGCTCCCCTCTGGGGAGGCCACTTCGTGTTGGCTGGTGTCTTCCTTAATGGCCACGGCCACCTTCCTCTGGACACCCAGAAAAGTTATTTTCTCTTCAAAACACCGGCAGGAAGAATTTCCTGCCTCCGAGCCTGCCTGATGGTAAATGCGTATTTCCTGGACATGTATAGAGCGGTCGGCAATGTCCTCCCCGGGCGCGTCCCGGTGTCTGAGCTCAGGTTTGGCCCCCTCTGTTCCCACCACGAGCCTCAACTTGCCACTTGAGCAAATGGCCCCGGCCCCCACCAGGCAGGTGTATCTGCACTTTTGAAGTAGCTCAGACTCACTGTGTGGACCCCCCCATTCTGTTGCCCAGCTGTCCTGTCTTGGCGTTGATGAAGGCTCCCTCTACAGAACTGCAAATTCGAAGCATTTTGAAGGCGAGCGGTGGAAGGAATGGATAGCTCAGCGAGCATTCGTGGCCTTGTACATTACCTCCCACAGAGGTCACCCTGATGCTATGCAGTACCTTCTAGAACACGGTAATTCTGAGAGGCAGCTGAGTATGTCACCAGCTGGGGTCTTGTGCGGGTGGGAAGACCGAGTGGTGTGTCTTTCTGGCCCTTTGGCAACGGTGTCCTGGACCCAAGTTATGTCCACCACTGATCGTGGTCCCTGTGGGCCACTCGTGGTCTGCCGACTTGAGGCTGTGCCCCTCTCTTGGCCAGGTCTTGAGAACACTCTTTCTGCTGTGGGAGATGCAGCTCAGGACACTAAGTCACAGGAGCAGCCACGGGGACTCCCTGGCCTGTCACGTCCAAGCAGACACACGGATGCGCCCAGACTGTGTTATTTCTGCCCCACCTGAACTTGGATTTCAGCAACTGTCCCAGGGGCCCAGCCCCAAGCAGGCTTCGGTCTCTGGCCAGTCTCCTTTCTCCGAGGCTTTGAATTAGTTCCCTCAGGAGGCACTCACCCCAAACCCTGTTTTCATTTCCAACCCCACCCCCAGAGGGCAAATTGCTCCTTCTCTCTCTGTTGATAGAAACGGAAGCCTTAGGGGCCCCTGGGTGGCTCAGTCAGTTAAGCGTCTGACTGTGGCTCAGGTCATGATCTCGTGGCTCGTGGGTTTGAGCCCCGCGTCAGGTGCAGAGCCTGCTCGGGGTTCTCTGTCTCCCTCTGTGTCTCTGTCCCTCTCTTGCTCATTCTCTCTCTCTCTGTGTCTCAAAATAAATAAATGAACTATAAAGAAAGGAAGACATAGAAGCCTTAGCCTGCATTGTCTCTGAATTAAAGGGCTCTGCGTACAGTTGGGCCGCAGCACACCTTCTCTTCCCTGGACGTAGGATATTTTTGGGAAGAGAGGCCCGCGGACTGATCGAGGAGTCGACCCTCCAAGAACAATAGACAATAGTTGCAGACATCGCAGGCCACCGGCTTCCTGGGGAAAAGGAAGAACGTGACGTGGGCTGTTTGGTCAGTGGTTTGAGGCTCAGAAGGGGGCCTCATCCCAGGGTCTCCCGTATCAGCTTGCCCTCAAATCAGGAGCCTGTCTTTCCTGCCCGCGGCCTTGACCCCAGCCTCCCTGTGCCCCCCACTTCCAGCAAGCAAGGTGAAAACATTCCCGCGGCCCCGGGCAGAACGACTGACGCGTGTGTCCATCTGACGGGTAGAGGTTTTCCTGTATCCTCCTCCCTCCGCTGCTTTCCGCACGCTGCCTGTTGTAAGATGAAATATGGGCTGTTCGCGGCCCAGCAGTCCGTTAAGCTCATAAAAAGTCATTTTCACTCTGATGGAACTGTGATGTATTTGCAAGCACCAGTTAAAACATTACAGCCAGCTTTGCAAAGTTTTCTGTCCTTTGCAGACAGCCGCGGCAAGGCCGTGCTGTGGCTGAGGCTGGGGCGTTGTGAGAACCTATTTAAAACTTTACCTCACCGACCAGCCATAGCTCATAAAAACTGGCTACAGAAATGTCAGCTGCATGTAATTGAATTGCCTTGTTTTCTGTGTCATGATATTTGTTACCCAGAATTTGATTCAATTCAACAAGTCCATATTGGACACCTGTCGTTAGCCCATCCATCTGCGGGAGGCAGTGAGGAATTCAATCGAAGTGAAATCTGTCCATGAGTCAGGGCGCCCATCGTCTGTCATTTCCCGGGTGCCTGTCTTCTCCAGGCATCGCACTACGTGCCGGGGATGAAAACAGCAGTGATCCAAACAAGTGTGTTTTCTGCCTCCGTGGACTTTATGAAGGGAAGTCAGCAAATTATTACAAATAATTAATTCCATGGTCGATCGTGCGTGGCATGTTCTGAAGATACAGACTGTCTACTGAGCATATACGGGGAGATGCATGGGAAGAGGGGCTGAGGAAGGTTTTCCTGAGGAAGTAAATGAAGGATCGCGAGAGAGCCCGGGGCAGGGGTGGGGCGGGGGGAGTGTGGGAAAAGGGTGACAGGGTTTTTAAGTGAAGGGAACGGCATGTGCAAAGGGCCTGGGGCAGGATGAGGCAGCAGGGTGTATTTAAACGATAAAGATGGAAGCCTGGTATAATTGGAGCGTGGAGGGAGTGGAGGGAGAGCATGGGTGGGTGGAGGTGAGGCCTGCGCGGTGGTAAGGGGGCGGTGAGGTGAGATAGGATAGCAACACCCTAGAAAATTACCCCAAGGGTAGCGGGCATCAGACATGGGGTTGGAGCAGGAGTGTGCTCTGGGCAGGCTGAGGCAGGGCAGTGCTGGGTGCCGGACCCGCCGAGGCAGCGACGCCTCCTCTCTCACACGCGGTGTGGGGTCGGGGGCGGTTGTGAGTTCTCCGAAGCCTTCCTCCCACGGCCCTGCCCCTCCTGCGCTTCTCTACCTGCACGTGATTCTGAAGGGGAGGCTCACGGCCGGGAGGGGGGCCTCGCTCAGCTCAGCCGTCTTACTTTGCAGGAGCGAACTGCCTCAGAAGAACCCTCCTGGGCAGGACAGCTCTGCACGCGGCCGCGGCCATGGGCCGTCTGGACTCCATAAACCTGCTGCTCAGCTACGGGGCCTCCGTCAATGACAAAGACACCAGGGGGGAGACCCCCATGTCCATCGCCCGGCGCATGAACCGCAGACACGGCGAGAGGCGGATGTTCCTCTTCTACTGGATGACAAAGTCAGGGACCACGGACCCGAAGAAACTGATGGCGAACAAGGCTTTTCACCGGGCAAAGTCTGGGTTTGGCTCCAAGAAGAAGAGCCAAATTTAGCTCCCGCTGGGAACGCGTGCGCGCCGAACCGACTCGGGTAACTTTTCCGAGTTCAAATCCACAGCGGCCCTCGGCGAGCAGGAAGTCCAGAAAACACGGCAATTAATCTGAATCAGATACGAAATTATCTGTCCTGTTTGCAAATGACTCGGGTAGGTGAGTTTTGTGTTCGTCCTGTAATCCATTACCGACTGAGCGGCCTCTGATGCCGGCCTTTAATTCTATGCTATTTGCACATCGTATCCAATAACGCTGCTTGGGGTGATGGGAACCAATTACCTTCTCTCCCTTCTGGAGACCATCTAATGCATCAGCATAATAGAAGTAATAGCGGTAATGAGAGTGGCACTGTGGCTATTGTCTAAAGCAAGTGCCAGCAAATGTCGGGAGGTTGCCAGCCGTGTGGGCTGTGAATTTCCGCTTGTAAAACCCGGGAGCCACGCGTCGCCGCAGCTAGCACGCTTCTAGAAGTTCTCCTGAGCCCCCTCCGGGGGTCTGCTGCTCCCATCGGAGGTCGCAGGGTGGAGGGGAAGCGAGGAAGGGGAAGAGCAGAGAGAGCGTGGTTCTCCAGACAGACCTGCACAGGGCCGCCTTCTTGGCCTGTTGAAAGGTGACGAGTTGCCACTGGATTTGGAGGAGGCAGCGTAGAGGGTGCCCATGAGCTCGGAGAGGAGAGACTCAGAGCTGGCACCTTCTTTCCCTCCGTCCCGTCCCCGGTGGCCCACGCACCCAGCTGTCCCCTGTCCCTCCCAGCAACACCAACCTCTCTGCACTTAGTACCAGGTCTGTGCCTCCCAAGGGCTGCACACCTGCGGGGGACCCAGCCTGCCATGTGTCTGAGCCCCGAGTAGGAGCCGGAGGGGGAGGTGGGCGCCAGGGCAGCTGACGTTCACACCCCTGCCTGAAGAGGGCGCCACGACTCAGCTCCAGCAGAAACGTGAGCCAAACCCTGCTAGATCTTTCCAGGTTGTTTTAATATGATAAGTCTAGATTTTACAAAAGTGTGTGTGTGTGTGGTTTTTTGTTTTTTTACTATTTATTTATTTTTGAGAGAGAGAGAGCATGAGCGGAGGAGGGTCAGAGAGAGAGGGAGACACAGAATCCAAAGCAGCTCCAGGCTCTGAGCTGTCAGCACAGAGCCCGACGTGGGGCTCGAACTGACGGACCATGAGATCATGACCTGAGCCGAAGTCGGACGCTTAACCAACTGAGCCCCCCAGGCGCCCCAGATAAGTTCTGATCTTGAAGCGCTGGCCCGAAGTTTTAAAAAGTGGTGGTGTGGGGCAGAAGGAGCAGCGGATCTGAGACACACCCACAGGACTGCCTCTTGGCGCCAAAAAACGGCCGAAGTAACTCAGGTGACTCCTGGAACGCGCTGGAATGGCCGCGGGCCGTGCTGGGGGGCAGGTATCGCCCGCCCTCCCAGCGCACAGCTGTGTGTTTCCCTAAAGCCCTACATTCTGACACTTCTGGGGCCCGTGTGACAAGTCTCCCGACCATGGAAGTTGTTTGCAGAGTGATGGAAAACGGCCCCGTCTCCCCGCTGCCCTTCTTTCCGACACGCACCCCGATAACCGGATTCGGCTTTTAAATTAATTGGCTGCGTTTCCTGCTATCATAACAAGGAAGATCTGTGTTGACGATGTGGTTTTACACTCAGGAGACGCGGCTGTACCCAGCTCAGCAATCTGTTTGACAAATAAAAGTCGGGAAAAAAAACAGAGCCGGCATCAACTATGTCAGAGCCGAGATCTTGTTTTTGGCGGACGCTCTCCAAAGTCAGCAGACAGATACTAAATAACCCCATCCGACGGGTCAATTCATTTAGCTAATGAGGTGTGCTGGCGGGGCGACTCAGGGACCCTTTTAACTTAACAAGTGGCGTTATTCAGAGTGATGTGTTTGCCAGCGACTGTATTGTTAGGAGGGCCAGCTGCCTGACACTTGTCCCCAAAACTTTGGAGGCAGGCACTGTATCTGCATCTGCCCCCAATTCAATTAAACGCTGGGCCAGAAAAGAGGCAAGTCTCAAACTCCGTGGTTAACGTTTTGCTCAGTCTGCAGCAGGGTCGTCTGTATGCTCCTCTGTGTCCCAGGGGTCTTCACTTTAGGCATTAAATTTTTTTAATGTTTTTTTATTTTTGAGAGAGAGAGAGCGCAAGCAAGGGAGGGGGAGAGGGAGACACAGAATCGGAAGACAGGCTCCAGGCTCCGAGCTGTCAGCACAGAGCCCGACTAGAGGCTTGAACTCAAGAACTGTGAGATCATGACCTGAGCCGAAGTCAGGCGCTCAACCCACTGAGCCCCTTAGACCTTCAACATACTACCTATTATATTCAAACAGGCCTGTGTCAGATATTGAATAAAATACATTCATGGCCGACAGAAGAGTTGATGTGCAATTGGTCACAATCATGTTATATTTTGTAGGTATTTCATTAAACCTTTGGGTTTTTTTATTTTTTTGGTCGTACTGAGGAGCTAACAGAAAAAAATTTTGTGGGGTGGATTTCAAGCGTGTTTGTGGGACCCTGAAATCCTCTTAGGCCCAAGGTACGGGTGATGGTCTTCGGTGGGGAGGTGACTGGTCGGTGATCGCCCAGGCGGACCTCCCTGTGAACGTCGAAGGTTGGGGAGCCTCTTGGAAAGGAGGTCTGAGGAGTCTTCTGGCTGTGATATCCATCTCTGGTTGGGTGTTCTGGTCTCACCCTCCCTTGCGTCAGCCTGGAAACCGGGATGGGGGGCGCCCCGGGGAGACGGACTGCTCCTTAGAAGCAGAAAACGACAGCCATGCCTCCTACATGTTTCCACTCTCCTTGCCTGCCAGGGAGCTCAGCTGGACTCAGCAAATACCCTCCCCGGACCTGCTCCCTGCCCGAGTGACTGATAATGATTTGCCTTTTCTTGTACACCTGTTGAATTGTGAATTGCCTCAAATCTTTTCTGGAAGTCAATGCAGTACAAGTCAGCAAGAGGCCCTACCCACCATGGGGCTCAGAGGACAGCTTGAACACCTTACCCAGGCCCGGAGTGTGCGACCCAGCCTCCTGGCCACCCAGCCTCTGGTTCGCCCTGCGGCTCCCGTCGTCTCCAAGGCAGCCGAACAGAGACGCTGAGTTTTACTCTGCGTCTGGTCTGCTGCCTGGACGCCGGCATCCTTCAGTACCTGGATGTGGGCGCCTTGACCGGCCCCCCGTGGCCCCGTGGCCACTGCCTGGGTCTCGCCCTTGCCACGGAGTCCTCTCTGCATCTCAGCCCCGGGTGCCTCCTCGCCGGGAGAGGATTCGTCTAGCAGAGCTTCCCGGAGAGGCGGAATGGCCTTCCCCCTGGTGGCAGTGTGGGGGACTTTCTCGGTGGCCCTGACACTGCATCGAGTGACACTGACACACAGGCGGAGAACGTTCCCTGTGCAAACGGCCCCGCGTCCTGATTCCCACAAGGAGCCAGTGAGCCTGGTGCGAGTGGGCCTGCGACTCCGCCCCGAGCCTGGCCAGTGTCCCCTTTCACGTGGACAGATTTTGCCGGGTTGAAAACCATCGGCTTGTCTTCAGGATGTGTGAGTCGGGGGTCTAGTCCTTTCTCCACGCGTCACGACTGTGTGACCTCAGTGCACACTTCCCCTCCCAGGGGCCCCTGCTACTTTGTCCATCCCGGGCCCCTGCTGTCTCTGTCCTAACCCGCTCGTGGTTTTGAGGTGAGAGGACCGAGGTGAGCCGTGTGCTCAGGGCCCGACGCCGCGTAGGCCCGGCCCTGCCGGGGGCACCGTCTGGCGCGTCCCGTTTAGAACTTTCCGCAGCCAGTGGCTGTGTGGCCTGGGGCCAAGCAATTGCATCTCTCCGAGCCACCGTGTCTTCGTCTGTAACATTTGGGCAATAACATCTGCCCCTGTCGTCACCGGAGGGAGTAAATGCCTGGCACACGGCAGACACTTGAAAAATAGTGGCCATTGTTATTATTATTACTACCACCACTTAATTTGCTTAAAATGTTTACTCACCGGGAATCAATATGCTCCCGGTTCCCAGATAGCCTCATAAATTTTCAGCAAACCTTATACAATAAGAGGCTCCATCCAGAACTAATAATTCCCAAAGTGGGAGATAAATAATTTCCCTGAAACTTGCTGATTTTGGTATTAAGTCCAGGGCTTCCTCAGCAACTTCTAGAAAGTCATTCTGAATTGAGAACTGCAGGGCCAGTTGTGCAGGAGAGAGAGAAAGAGAGGGGAAGAAAAAAAAAGGCTCTAAGATGAGAGGAAAATTCCAGCCGCTCGGCTCAGCCTCCGCAGGGCCGCCCTGACGCCGCGAGCATCCAGCAGAGGGCACGGAAACCCATTAACATTTAGAAAAACGCCCGTGTTTTCGCTGGAAATGTCAGCGATGCCGCGTGTTCTGCGCCACTCTGGAAACTCGAAGGCAGGGCTCGGCGATGGGGGGGCACACGACGGGCTTTTGTGCCCAAAGCCCTGAAATCGTCTGCACACGTGCGTGTCTGCACGTACGCGTGCTGGGGGGGGAGGGGACTGATAGCTCCCATCACGTCCTCAAAGGATCGGTGGACCCCCTGCCCACAGGCTCCCAAACCTGGGCCACGTCAGGGGGGCGCCCACGCCAGTTGTCGAATCACATTCAGGTTTCAATCCCGTGTCGCCTCGCGCCCTTGGGTTGGGTATGGTCCGTGTACAGTTAAGTGCTGGTCACACCCGGCGCGTGGTGGGCTGGGGCTGCACGCACGTGCGGGGGTGGCCTGGGAAGTGGCTTCTGTCACTCTGCACAGGGGGGCCGGTGGGTTCCGTGGCCCTGCAGGATTACGACCTGATCACAGGTGCCCTCAGTGCCCAAGAGCCAGCCCCACGGCCCTACTTACCTGCCCCTGCTCTGCAGAGACGGGACCCCAGAGCATAAGGAGATGTGTGTGCGAACGTCTATGAGGGCTCTTTCTGGTGACGAGTGCCGGAAGACACTGCAATGCCCGCTGGCGAGGGTGACAGTGGCACGGTGGGCGGCAGTTAGGAGATGATTTGCGTGGACAGAGGAGTGTGGTGCGTCAGGAGGTGCCTGAGAGCTGAGTATGAGATCATTGGGTTACAGTTTTAAAAAGGAGGCAAATCCAATAAATGTGCGTAGAGGTTTGCTTGAGCAAAAATAATGATGTCAAAGATCTTCTAGCTCCTAGGACTGCCCGCTTCAGGGCAGCAAGATCGCTCATTACGTCTCTAAATTGCTACAGCCAATGTTTCTCCTCATTTTTTTTTTAATTATGGTGAAATACACACGATGTATACTTTCTCTTTAATGATGGTTTGCACATTTGCAGTGCGGTGCAACCGTCACCACTATCTAGTTCTAGAACGTTCCGTCACCCTAAAAAGGAACACAGGACCCATTCGCATTAAAAGCCTTTCCCCCATTTCCCCCTTCCCGCTAGCCCTGGACAATCACCAGTCTATTTCCAGTCTCTCTGGATTTTCCCATTCTGGATATTTCATACAAATCAAGTCAATATGGGGCGCCTGGGTAGCTCAGTTAGGCTCAGGCCACGATCTCAAGGTTCGTGAGTTCAAGCCCCACGTCGGGCTCTGTGCTGACAGCTCAGAGCCCGGAACCTGCTTTGGATTCTGTGTCTCCCTCTCTCTCTGCCCCTCCCTGCTTGTGCTCTCTCTCTCTCTCTCTCTCAAAAATAAGCATTAAAATAAATTAAAAAAGTAAATTGAGTCAATATGTATCTGGCTTTTTAGCATCATGTTTTCGGGGTTCATGCACAGCATGGCATGTGTCATACTTCATTCCTGTCTCTGGCTGAATGACGATGCCCCGTTGCCAGCCCTTCATTACCTGATGGGCATCTGGGTTGTGTCCACCTTTGACTCTTGCGGCGGCGGCTGTAAACGTGAGCGTACGAGGGCTTTTGAGTACCTGCTGCAAGTTCTTTTGCATATACACCTGAAAGGGGAACTGCGGGTCAGAGGTAGTTCTA